GACCTCGGGGCATTACCTGGACTTGATAATCAAACTCATTCCAATCCCGGGGGCTCTTGCTGCTCATGGAGCTGTGGTACAGGAGCAGCACGGCTACCTGGAAGCAGGCAGTGTGTCAGGGGCAGTCAGGTGGCACCAGGCACGCGCCAACTCTCCTCGAGGTGCAGCCACCATCTCAGAGCCACCATCAGCCCCGGGGACACCGCAGTCCCACTAGAGTACCCCACGTTTTGTCACAGCAGAGAGAACATGAGAAGGGCCAGAAGACCCGCGTGGCACCGAGGTACCTTGGCCAACTCCAGCTCTTCTCCCTGCAGCAGCTTCTGTGCTGACACCAGGTTCTCCGTGGCCGATTTGTGCTTGCAGAGCTCTGCAATGCAAAAGAAGGTTTCCAAGCACACGAGCAAGGAAGAGCAGAAGGAAGGGGAGGAGATGCAGCTCGATGCTGAGACAAAACCCTCCAGGCACCCGGGGGCACCACAGATGTGAGCCTGCAGGGAAGGGGCCAGGCTGCAGGATGGGACCATGCCGAGCTCTTACTGTGCAGGAAGCCACAGATGAAGGCTGCTCGCTCTTCCAGGGGCTGCTCCAGGACAGACTCCCCCTCCTCAGTCCTGTGGCTGCAAGAGAGCACGGGCAGCGTGAGCGCTATGCAAGAGATGAAACAAAGGCTGCTTTCAAAACCCAGAGGCGGCTCTTTGGCTCTCTGCAAGCCGGGGTTTTCCCCAAGCTGCCTGGCAGCAAAGTGAGCAATCCCTGCTGCTGGCAGCCCCGATAAAACCGGGGGGAGCCCCCCCCAGGATCAGCCACACCACACTGCACACTGTGCTCCAGGGCTCAATTCTGGGCAGGGCAAATCACAGAGAGGAGCAAAGCTGTTGGATTTAAGGAAGGAACTGCAGCTGGCTGCCGTGGCTCTCATCCAACGCTTCTGCTCAGCGCAGCCAACACAAATGCGGACCACGTGCCCGCCAGCCACGCTCTTCCAACAGTGCTCACCCTCACGGCACCACAAACGGGGGGATTTGGTGCAGGGATTGGCTGTGGGGTGAGCGCATGGTGCTGTGATCCCAGCTAATCCCAGCCACAGAGCAGCCGGAGAGGTGAAGCAGCTCTGACTAAATATATCTCAGTGCATGGCTCCTTCCTCCCCGCCCTGCTCCAAGCAGCTCTTGTTACACCGTGCTGGAGATAATTATAGCGAGGGCTGAGCTCCTCGGGACCGGCTGCGGGAGCACGGCCTCACTGGGGCACTAATTACACGCCAGCTTTAATCACCCTCGCGCTCGCAAGTGATGGATGCAGCTCATGCAGCTCCCAAGATCGGAGTTCTGCCCTTCCTCTCCCCAAAAGCTGTCCCTGTGCTGTGATGGGTCGGTGGGAGGGGTCTGCACCCTCTTTGTGGGATGCTCCTTCACTGAGCCAAAGCCAAAGCGTTCACACCCCTTCCTTCTCCCAGCAGCATTTGGGGAAGGAGAGCAGCTCCCACTGCACAGGGGGTAGGGAGAGGAGTGGTTACACCCCCAGCCCTGAGCACTCACATCTTATTGATGATCTGGATGAAAACACGGCAGTCCTGCAGCTGGGACAGATCGCCGAGGGGCTCCATGCACACCTTGGTGCTGTTCACCTAGAAATGAAGGGGGGAGCTCAGGAAGCAGCACCCACAACTCAAATCCCAAGCAGCACCGTGGCTTCTTGTCCCCGGCCCCAAAGCCTGAGCCCCCTGGGGTCCTTGCAGCCCCCCCCCCCCAGCACCATCACTGCATGTTACCCAAGCGAGGAGCGCGGCGGCTCTGGTGGCGTGGAGCGGCATCGCTGCGAGGCTGCCAGTGTAACACCCAGACCTGGAAACACCAACAAACAGGGAAAAATTAACAGCAATTAAAGCACCCAACACCGCAGTTCCGCTTTTGCACGTGATGAAGAAGGATGCGTCCCCTCCGCTCCCCGGTGTTACCGAAGGGAGCAGCCAACATCTTCATTTTTAGCAGGAAGAAGCCTCGGGGACAGCAGTGGGTGTCCCCTGTCCCCACAGCACGACGTTCCCAGCCCCACGTCGGCAGGGGACAGAGGCACAGCCAGCAGCACAAGGCACAGAGCAGCGATTGTAGTTGGGTGACCTACATTTCCTGGGAACGTGGGGCTCGGGGGGAGCAGGGGAGCACACTGCCAAGCGTGGCGGCGCCCGGGCACCTCGCAGCGTGCGCCAGGTCGCCATCCTTTCCTCCTTTCAGAGCCAGGAGCAGGGAGCAGCCTTATGAGCTCCCAAACTCATGGAGCCCACGAGAGGATGCGTTTGGCCCTCACACGGCCATAGGGCACATCCCAGCTTCCTCCCCCCTCCCCCCCCAACATCTGGCAGAGCACACTATGGGCTGGGAAGGGCTGGTGACAGAGCTGTCACCACCAGTGTGCCGCCCAGGATCTCAGCCATGGGGTGCTGCCCCCTTTCCTGCCCCGCCATCCGTCACCACGCGTGTCCCCAGGTCCATCCTACAGGAGTCACCTCCCTGCCCCCAGCTCTCCGCTATCTCCAGGCAGCAGAAGCCTCCCCACCATTATCAGGAGGGGGCCCAGCGTTTTCCCCACAGAACACACAGGGTTTTTGGCCACGCACGGAAGCAGCACAGCGCAAACCACGTCCCCATCCCTTGGCTCTCCCCTCGCGCTGCTCCTAGCACCGGACACAGCAGTGACACGGGGGTCCCCTCTGTCCCCACAGTGCTCACCCACATAAGAAGGCCCCCCCCTGGCCCCGCTCAGTGCCACAGCCGTGCACCCGTGGGATCTCTGCCAGCCGCCCCCCCCCCCCCCCCGCAGCTCCCCCCCCCCACGGCGACCTTTGCCTCCGCCGTCCCCGGTGCCACCCTGACAACCCCACCCCGAGGGCTGGACATAACCCAAAAACACCACGTGGGGATGTGGGGGTCCCCAAGGGCTGTGGCTCCTGTGCCAACCCCCCCCCGGGCAGGGCAGTGTGGAAGGCAGAACCTAGAGGGGCTCTGGTTGTATCCGGTGGCACTGGGGCTCAGTGACAGCAGCAGGATGGTGACACCCCTGCAGTGACAGCACTGCTCCTCCATCTCCCCGCGTCCTGAGCTACGGTCCTCCCATCCCATCCCCTCCTCCTCCTCCTCCTCCATTGGCGGCACCAACCCGGACCCAAAGCCGCGGAAAGGAGCAAAAGGAAAGGACCCAACACTTCCCCCCCACGTTTCCACTCTTAGGCACAACAGGAGGGGACTCAAAACGCTCCAGCACTGCCGTCCCTGTGTTGTTGTTCCTGTTCCCCCCTCCACCCCCCCCTGCCTCCATGCCCGCTCCGACACGGCGTTACGCAAGGCAGCACCTTCCTCAGGGCACAGCATTGTGGGGGGGGAGGACCGACCCCCAAACCCTCCCCCCAGGGATCACCTGGTGTTGTTCCCCAGCCCCACACACAGCCCCCCCCCTCCGTGGGGCAGCGGGGTTCACATCCAGCAGGGTGAGAGAGGAGGGGGGGGGGGGGGCACAGAGCACCCGGATGTTGGCGAGCGCAACTCGGCACAGCACCCAGAATGGGGGGCTGCAAGCCATGGGGGGGGCAGCGAGCCAAGGGCTGCCCCCCTCTCCTCCCCCCTCTCTCCCCCCCCCCCCCCCCCGCCCCCTCCACAGCTGCCTCCTCCTCCTTTTCCGTCCCCTCTCCTTTTCCTCCTCCTCCCCGCTGCAAAACAAACACGGAAGGCACACAAAAGTCTTTGTTGGGCTCTTACCGGAGCGCCGCCGCCGTGCCCTGTGCCGCCGCCCCCCCCCCTCGGCGTCAATCCTCCATCCGAACAGCTTCCCCCCCCCACCTCCTTTCCCCCCGGGGGGGCGCCGAAGAATCTGCACAAAGAAAAGTTGTCGGGTCCGCGCTGGGGCCGCTCCAGGAGATGGTTTCCCTTCCTGGCCCAACGCCGCCCCACGTCACGGCCGCTGCGCGCGTTAAAGGCGCACGGCACCAAAAGGCGGCGCGGGGACGGGTTCAACACGCGGAACCAAACGCAGCCCCGCAGCGCGGCGTTCTGAACGCACACATCCCAAAGCCAGACCCCAGAACGCAGGTCCCCAAACCCTCGGACCCAGAACCCAGGTTCCACGTCCCTCATCCCCAGATCTCAAACCCAGTCCCGGAGGCCGGGCCCAGATCCAGGCCCCACAACCCAAATCCTGACTCAAGGCCCCCCCCCCAGGTCCTGATCCCACATCCCAGGCCCAGACCCGCGGCCCCAGATCCTGAGCCAAAGCCCCAGGCCCGTGCTACAGATCCAGACCCCAGCCCCCGACCCCACGCCCCAGCCCCAGATCCTGACCCAAGGCCCCAGGCCCTGACCTCAGACTCCGATCCCACACCCCAGGCCCAAGGCCCCTGGCCCAGATCCAGGCCTCAGACCCCAACCACAGATCCTACACCCCACGCCCCAGATCCAGACCTAGGGCCCACACCACACACCAACCTCAGACCCCAGATCCAGAACCCAAATCCCACACCCAGACCTCACACGCCGGCCCCAAACCCAGACCCCAAATCCCACACCCCACATCCAGACCCCAAAACCCACACCCAGACTCCCAACTCCCAATCCCAATCCCACACCCAGGCCCCAAACCCCGACCCCAAATCCCACACCCGGGCCCCATACCCAGACCCCTACCTCAAGCCCCGCCCCCTCCTCGTAGACCCCGCCCCTTTCGCTTAGGCCCCACCCTCCGCCGCCGGGATTCAAACCCCCCCTGCCGCTCTCCTCCATTGGCTGGCTCCGCGGTGACGTAGCATCGCGTGATTGGGTGCCGCGCCGCCCGAGTGCCGGCGGGCTCCGAAATCTCGGGCGCCCAATCCAAAGTCTCGCGAGAGGCGCGGGGCACGCTGGGAGAGACGGAGTGTTGGGGGGGGGGGGGAAGGGGGACAGGGGTGTTGCCAGGGCAACGGCGGCGCGTGGGGCCGGGCTGCGGGATTCTGGGGAGGGGGGGGGGGGGGGGGGAATATTAGGGTATGTGTGGGGTTATGGGGGCGCGTGTGGGGCTGGAGGCTGTGTTAGGGCCAAGGGACACGTGTGAGGACAAACTGGGGACATCGGGACCCCTATCCAACGGGGTGAGGGGATTTGTGGGGCTGTGGTGGGGTGTGGGGGGATATTGGGGTCTGCGGGGAGGAGCGGGTGGCCGTGGGTCATGGGGGCAGCTGTGGGGCCTGGGGGACGGCCGTGGGGCTGCCATAGGGTGTGGGGATGTGTGGGGCTGCGGGGTGCTTTGGAAGGGGGGGAGGGGGAAGTAACGATTGCTATAGGACTGCAGTGGGGCCAGGCCCTATAGGTGCCTACGGGGCGGGGGGGGGGGGGGGGGGCAGTGAGACCCTACAACCCCCTCAGCGAGCATCTCTGCACCCCATTGCCAGGCCGGCCCCTGCCCCACAGCGATGCCAACCCGCCTCCTGCCCCCTGAACTCGTCCCCCCCCTCGACTTCTCCTTCTTCCCACTGCAATCCCTGCAGGGTGAGTATAGGGTGCCTTCCCCCCTCCCCCCACTCACCCCACATAGGGTGGGTTTGGGCTCTCACAGCCCTGCCCCACAGACCTGAGCCCCAAGGGCAGCCCTTCTCCCACCCTGGCCCTCCGCCTGCCCTACACCGGGCTGAGCAGCCTGGAGGGGCTGCACCTCACCCTGCAGCAGCTCCTGGCCGACCCCACACAGCTCCGTTGGCTCGACCTGTCCTTCAACTGCCTGACCACCATTGACCAGGTGAGCGGGACAGGGAGGAAGAGGGTGAAGCTCACAGCCCCGCAGTGGCGGCTGTAAGGCCAGATCCTCATTTTCCCCCCCCTACATCCACCCCTAAACCAGGTGCTGAGCACGCTGGGGGGGCTGCAGAGCCTCTACCTGCATGGCAACACCATCAGCTGCCTGAGGGAGGTGGACAAACTGGGGGCTCTGAGCCAGCTGCGCCGCCTGACGTTATATGGGAACCCTATGGAGGAGGAGGGGGGCTACAGGTAAGGGGGAGGGGGCTGCAGATGGAACCCCCTCCCACCACCATCTCGTCACTGGGCTGCTTTGCCCCACTGAGCTCCCCCCCCCCCCCCCCAGGCATTACGTGCTGGCCATGCTGCCCCAGCTCAGCACCCTGGATTTCAGTGCTGTGACCCCACAGGAGCGCAGGGAGGTGGCTGTGTGGGGAGGCACCCAGAGGCGGCCCCGACCCCACCGAGCTTCAGAATGAGAGGTGGGAGCAAAAGGGACATGGGGGGGGGGGCACCCAACTGCAGGGGCACCCCAGGCACCCAGGGGGCACCCCATGGCACCCAGCCCCAGGGTTCTGTCAGTTGGGGCACAGCCTTTGCGTCACCGCTGTGCCACCCGGGTTGGGCTGCTGGGGACAAGGCAGGAGGATGAGGAAGGGGGACAACGCGCTCAGCTCCATGCTATCACAGCCACTTCTGGGCTGGAGTTAACCCCAAAACTGAGGGCACGGCTTCCACAGCGTCTCCCACACACCCTGGAGGCAGCGGTGAGGGGTCAAGGGGGGGGTTGTTTTTTGGCAGCACCCCCCAGTCTTTGGGCAGGAGGAAGAGCAGCAGGCGCAGGAGGTGCCAGAAACCAACTGGGAGCACGGAGATGTTTGGGAGGGAGGCAGGGGAGAGCAAATCCCATACAAAACTTCCCCCCCCTAAAAAAAAAGAAGCCAACAGAGCAGGTAATGAATGAACCCACAGCCACGCGTCCCACTGCTGCCCAGTGACCCAGTGGAACGGAGAGGAGGCAGGGGCGGGCTGGATGCGTTTATCTGTGGTGGCAGAAGGAGAAGAATTCAACCAAAACCGAAAAGAAAATCATTGTAAACCAGGAGAGGGGGCAGAGGAAGCCGCTGGAAGGTTTCCTCCGGGAGCATCCAGCTCCTGCCTGCCCTCCCCAGGGTGGGGGGGGGACAACACCAGACCCCCAGCAATGAGGATGCAGCCCCCCCCCCTCCCTGCTGCCCCCCATGCAACACAGTGGGGGAAAAAGCCACAGGGGGCAGCGCTGGGGGGGGAGAGGATTAGTGAGACGGCCATCATCTTGTGGGCGATAGGAAACGGGGCGTATGTACAAGTTCTGTGCTGTGGGGATGGGGGGGAAATAAAGACCCCAAAAAAAAGAGGAGGAAAACAAAACGAAGCCAACGAAACGAAACCCCGAGGTGGCGGGGCTCAGGGGATGCCAAACTGTACAACCAGTTCTTCTTTCGCGTCCACGCGGATCTGTGAGAGAGCGCTGAAGGCGTAGGCAGCTATCCGGGATACCTGGGGGGGGGAAAGCAGAGAGGGGGGGGGGGGGTCAGCAGCCTCGGGTGGCTGAGATGGGGGAGGGCTGCTTCTCCTCCTCACCTGCTGCAGGTCTGCAAAAGGGACCGGCTCGCTGGCCAGCACCTGGTGTGGTTGGTTGGTGAGGGACGGCAGCAGCGGGAGCTTCTTCCAGTGCGTCAGGCTGTTGCTCAGCATGGCCAGGCGAGTGCTGGGGGTGAGAAGAAGGCGAAGCGTTGTCACGAGTCCCAGCGGCTCAGCAGAGAAGCACCCAGGCCTCCCAAAACGCTCTGCAGACCCACCTGTACTGCCGGGCTCTGTCCATGTACTCGTGCTGCTCCATCCCCTGCGAATCCGCCGCCGACACGTCGATGATGTTGCTGCGGAGACACGAGGGCCGCGCTGCCTATGGGGGGACGTTTCTTCCCCCAACGAGCAGCAGTGCATCAGCACGGGGAGCAGCACAGCCCCGGCCCGTGGCTGAGGATCACGGAGGCGTTTTCCATCCGCGATTCTCTGTGTCAGACCTCGCAGGGTTGGAAAAGACCCCCGAAATCTCAGCCAGCCCAACTCACCCTCATTGAACCCTCAGCGCCGCATCCCAGCAGCTCCTGAACGCCCCCCAAGGGACGGCGGCTCCGCACCACAAAGAAACCCTGCCCCATCCCCACCGCCAGCCCCTGCCCCACCGTCACCGCCAGCCCCTGCCCCACCATCACCACCAGCCCCTGCCCCACCCCCACCGCCAGCCCCTGCCCCACCGTCCCCACCGCCAGCCCCTGCTCCACCATCACCACCGCCAGCCCCTGCCCCATCCCCACCGCCTCCAGCCCCTGCCCCACTGTCACCTCCAGCCCTGCCCCACTGTCACCTCCAGCCCTGCCCCACTGTCACCTCCAGCCCTGCCCCACCGTCCCCACCTCCAGGCCCTGCCCCATCCCCACCGCCAGCCCCTGCCCCACCATCCCCACCGCCAGCCCCTGCCCCACCATCCCCACCTCCAGCCCCTGCCCCACCGTCACCTCCAGCCCCTACCCCATCTCCAACCCGAAGCCGTTTCCTCGCATCCCCCCCCAACTCATCCCTGACTTCAAAAGAAGCCAACGCCTCTTCCATCCTCCTTCCAGAGGACGCACTGAGAGCAACGCAGCCCTCTTCCCAACAGCCCCGCTTCCATTCCCCCTGTCTGGTTTTCCCCACCCTTCACTGCTCCCTTGTACATCCCAGCACCTCTCGCAGAGACCAGGCAGCTCGAGGGCTTACATGGCCGTCTTGGCGAGGATGGAGGACAGCATGGCCTGCTCGTCGGTGCGGGCTGAGGGCAGGCTGTGACAGCTCTGCTCCGCTCCATTCAGTGCCTTGTTGGGAGGGCTGGCTGCCGGCTCCAGCAGCCGCTTTGTCTCTTCTTCCTAAGAGAAACAGTGGGAGAATTGTGAGGAGGAGGACAGAAGGAACCGGCTCTGCTTCCCCGCTTCCTTCCCAGATCCCCCAGGAGGGGGGGCAGTAAACGCAGCAGCCCTCTGCCCACCCCTGCTTACCCTTACAGCCCCCGTGAGGACGTTCCTCGGGGTCCTCAGACCCTTCCCCACCTCCACAGCCCCCCCCTTCTTCCACGCTGGGCGCCCTCCAACAGCTTGATGTCAATTCTCACCTTGTGGCACCCAAACCTGTGTGCAATGCTCCAGGTTCCCGCAGGCCCCGTTGTCCCCATATTCACCCCATAGTTCCACATTGACCCCTACTGACCCCCCCACAGTTCCACATTGACCTACAGACCCCCCCACAGATCCCATAGTTCCACAGTGACCCCTGCAGACCCCCTCACAGACCCCATAGTCCCACACTGACCCCTGCAGACCCCCCCCAAACCCCATAGTTCCACAATGACCCCTGCAGACCCCCTCACAGACCCCATAGTCCCACACTGACCCCTGCAGACCCCCTCCACAGGCCCCATAGTTCCACACTGACCCCTGCAGACCCCCCTACAGACCCCGTAGTCCCACACTAACCCCTGCAGACCCCACAGCCCCACATAGATCCCCCCAAAACACCCACACAGCCCCCCCCTCCCATGCCATAGGCCTCCACAGACCCACACAGGCCCTATAAGACCCACACAGCCCCCCCTACACCCCACATAGGCCTCCAAGGACCTCACAGCCCCACACAAGCCCCCCTATACCCTATGTAGGCCCCTACAGATCCATAAGGACTCCCCATAGGCCCCCACAGACCCCACAGTTCCACATGGGCCTCGTCATATACCCCCCACAGGCTCCTATAGTCCCACCGAGGCCACCCTACACCCCTCACAGTCCCACACACACACCTCTATGCACCCCATAGTCCCCCCTACACCACCTTACAGACCCCATAGTCCCACATAGGTTTACCCCACATGCCCCCACAGATCCCATAGCCCCACACAAGTCCCCCTATATCCCCATATAGGTCCCCCAGAACCATAGTACCACATAGGTTTCCCCATAGGCCCCCACAGACCCACACAGTCCCATATAGACCCCCTGCAGGCCCCCATAGTCCCATGAAGCCCCCCTATAGGTCCTCCTACACCCCCACATAAGCCCCCACAGACCCAGCAGTCCCACACAGCCCCCCCCCATAAGCTTCCATAGCCCCACAGTCCCACGCAAGCCCCCTTACACCGCCATGAAGGCCCCCACAGACCCTACAGTCCCACGAAGCCCCCCTCATAGGCCCCCTACAGACCCCCATACACTCCCACAGACCCTACAGTCCCATACAAGCCCCCCCATGTGCCCCCACAGACCCCATAGTCCCACACAGCCCTCTCCATGTGCCCCCACAGACCCACACAGCCCCCCCATATGCCCCCACAGACCCCACAGTCCCGCACAAGTCTCCCTATGCCCCCCTACACCCCCACAGACCCACTCAGCCCCCTCCCATAGACTCCAACAGACCCAGCAAGCCCCCACAGACCCACATAGGCCTACACAGTCCCACACAGGCCCCCCCATAGGCCCCCTGCACCCCCACACAAGCCCCCACAGACCCAGCAGTCCGACACAGGCCCCCAAATTGGCTTCCACAGGCCCCACAGTCCCACACAAGCCCCCCTACACCACCACACAGACCCCCCCCCACAGGCCCCAACAGACCCCACAGTCCCACACAGGCACCCCATAGCCCTATACAGATCCCATAATCCCACACAGGTGCCCCCCACAGGCCCCACAGAGCCTCGACTGACCCACAGAAGCCCCCACACAGGCCCCCCCCAGAGGGCCTCACAAACCCCACCTGGTCAGAGGCCTCAGCCTCGGAGCTGTAGCAGCAGCCCATGACGCGCCGCCGCCGCTACGGGGTCCGGCAGGGGCCGCACCGCCCCTGTCACGTGAAGGAGGAGCGACGACCACACCCCTCTCACCGCCACTTCCTCTTCCGGTCTCCTCCCCTCGTCACGTGGCGGGGGCGAGCCAATAGGAACAGAACACCGCCCTCAGCCTCTTCCTCTCCGCCGAGCCGTCACGTGAGGGCGAACCAATCAGCGAGCAGCTCGCGGCTCCGCCTTCCGGTTGGCTTGCGCGAACAGGGCGCATGCGTACGAGTGCCCAGCGCTCTCTACCCGGGTGCTGGGTGCCGTCCCCGGCTATGGGCTCACGGAGCGCCTCTTGGGAACCGCGATCCGCGTTGGGAAGGGACGCGGGGCTGGCTGGTTGTAGAGAAAACCGTGGGGAAGGCAGGATGACTGCGTGGGAAGGGATGCACGCGTGGAGGGAGGGGTTGGCACAGCCAGAAAGGGGCTGAGCGGGTCTAGGAGGGAATAAAAGCACGTGGAACGCGTTGTTCGTTGGGCTGCCAGCGCTTCGTACCAGAATCCCCTCCCGTTCCATCTCTATTCCAGGCCCATCCCATCCCCACCCTTATCTCTGCCTCACCTCCACCTGCATCCCATCCCACCCCAGTCCTTATCTGTACCCCATCCCCATCTCTACACCATCTCATCCAAATCTCTTCTCCGTCCCCATCCATACCCCATCCCATCCATCTCATCCCATCCATCCCATCCGTCTCTACCCTGCCTCTACTCCATCTCCACCCCACCCAAATCCCTGCTCCATCCCTACCCCATCCTCATCTCTACCCCATCTCTACTCCATCTCCATCCTTACCTCTACCCCATCCCCATCTCTACACCATCTCTATTCCATCCCAATCCTTCTCTCTACCCCATCCCCATCTCTACTCCATCCCATCCAAATCTTTACCCCATCTCCATCCCAATCCTTATCTCTACTCCATCCCCATCCCTACTCCATCTCCATCCCTATTCCGCCCCACCTCTACTCCATCTCCACCCATCCCCATCTCTACACCATCTCTATTCCATCCCAATCCTTATCTCTACTCCATCCCCATCTCTACTCCATCTCCGTCCCATCCAAATCCCTGCTCCATCCCCACCCCACCTCATTCCCATCCTTATCTCTATCCCATTTCTACTCCATCGCCATCTCCATTCCATCTCCATCCCATCCAAATCCCTGCTCCATCCCTATTCCACCCTATCTCTATTCCATTCCCATCCCCATTCTCATCTCTTCCCCATTCCCATTTCTACACCATCTCTATTCCATCCCAGTCTTTATCTCTACTCCATCCTTATCTCTATCCCACCCCCATCTCTACTCCATCTCTACTCCATCCCATTCGAATTCCTGCTCCATCCCCATGCCCATTCTTATCTCTACCCCATTTCTACTCCATCCCCATCCCATCTGAATCCCTCCCCCATCCACAGAATCACAGAATGGCCAGGGTTGGAAGGCACCTCGAGGGTCATGAATCCCCATCCCAGTCCCTACCTCATCTCTACTCCATCCCCATCCCATCCTCATCCTTATCTCTACTCCATCCCCATCCCATCCCCATCCTTATCTCTACTCCATCCCCATCCCATCCCATCCCCATCCTTATCTCTACTCCATCCCCATCCCATCCCATCCCCATCCTTATCTCTACTCCATCCCCATCCCATCCAACTCCCCACCCCACCCCCACCCCGTAACACATCCCCATTCAGCCCAGTAACCGGAGCCGGCTCAGGCTGTGCCTGAGGTGTCACCATCAATAATTGAGCACAGAGCAGAGCCCGGCTGGGGACCTGGGGACACACTGAACACAACCAGAGGTGGGAACCACACCAGCAGCCCGAGACCCTCCTACGACTCCCAAAGTTTGGGGTGAGAGGAGGCAGGGCGCGCGGCGCAGGATTCGGTGTCGTGGTTGTCGGGCGCAGGAGCCAGCAGGGCTGGCCATGGTGTCTCCAGCCATCGCTCTGGCCTTCCTCCCCTTCCTCATCACCCTGCTGATCCGTTACCGGCACTACCTGGTGCTGCTGTACCGCGCCGTGCTGCTGGCCTGGCTGCAGGACCGCCTCACCGGGGTGCCCCGCGAGCAGCGTGCCTTCCAGTACGTGCTGACCCACGCCATCCCCGGGGACCCCCGGCACATCCTGCACACCTTCGATCAGTGGAGCTACCACTGCGAGCACCTCGGCTGCGTGGGACCCCTCAAAGGTGAGCGTGGCTGCTTGAGGCTCCCGGCAGGGCTGGTGGTGTGGCTGTGGCACTACCAGCCTGGTGATGGCATCGGTAGCAGGGCTACTTCAGCAGTGGCACGGCCATGGAACGGCCACAGCACCATGGGTACAGCTGGGCCAACACTAGCACAGCCACGGCACTCTTGGCACGGCCAGGGCACTTTTGGCAGAGCCAGGGTAACATTGGTATGGCCAGGGCACTTTTGGCAGAGCCACAGCAATGTTGGTACAGCTGCAGCATCTCTGGCACAGCCATGGAACCCTGGCTATGGCCAAGGCACTTTTGGCAGACCTGCGGCACCACTGGCGTGGCCAGGGCACTTTTGGCACAGCCACAGCACCATTGGAGCGGCTGGGGTGCTTTTGGCACAGCCATGGCACCCTTGGTATGGCCAGACGCTTTCGGCAGAGCCACAGCAATGTTGGTACGGCTGCAGCATCTCTGGCACAGCCATGGCACCCTCGGCATGCACGTGGCACTCCTGGCAAGACGATGGCCCCATTGGCACAGCCACAACACTGATGGCACAGCCACGGCATTCCTTGCCCTGCAGCAACACCGCTGCCAAAGCCACGGCACTCCTGGTATGGCCAGGGCACTTTTGGCACAGCTGTGGCACCACTGGCGTGGTCAAGGCACTTTTGGCACAGCCATGGCACCCTTGCTACGGCCAAGGCACTTTTGGCACAGCTGTGGCACCACTGATATGGCGAGGACACTTTTGTCAGAGCCATGGTTGCACATGGGAATGGCTGCAGCATCTCTGGCACAGCCATGGCACCCTTGGTATGGCCAAGGCACTTTTGGCAGAGCCATGGTTCCACATAGGTATGGCTGTAGCATCTCTGGCACAGCCATGGCACCCTTGGTATGGCCAAGGCACTTTTGGCACAGCTGTAGCACCACTGAAATGGCGAGGACACTTTTGTCAGAGCCATGGTTGCACATGGGTATGGCTGTAGCATCTTTGGCACAGCCACGACACCCTTGGCCTGCACACGGCAAGCCAAAGGCCCCGTAGGCACAGCCACAAGACCGACGGCACAGCCACAGCAGGGTGGCACACAAGGGCTGTAGGGACCCCCCCCAGCCCAGCAGGGCGCTGAGGAAGCTCCACCTCGGCAGGGAAGATCGTGGAGAAGCTGCTGTGTGAGCGGGCGCCGCGCACCGTGCTGGAGTTGGGCACCTACTGCGGTTACGGCACCGTGCTGATGGCCGCGGCGCTGCCGCCGGGCGCCCGGCTCTACACGGTGGAACCAAACCCCCACCACGCCTCCGTGGCCGAGAAGGTGATCCGGCTGGCAGGCTTCGACGAGCAGACGGTGAGCGGCCGGCCGGCGGCGGGGTGCCAAGGCAGGGCAGGGGAGCTGAGGGTGTTTCTACGCAGGTAGAGCTGATCGTGGGCCGTTCCGAGGAGGTGATCCCGAGGCTGAGGGAGCAGCACAGCCTGCAGAGCATCGATTTCGTCTTCATGGATCACTGGAAGCGTTGCTACCTGAGGGATCTGCAGCTGTTGGAGGAGCACGGGTTGCTGGCCGATAGGGCAACGGTGCTGGCTGATAACGTGGTCTTTCCAGGAGCCCCACACTTCCTGCAGTACGCCAAGACGTGCGGGAAGTATCGCTGCAGGGTGCACCGTGCCAGCCTGGAGTACTGCCGTGCCATCCCCGATGGCGTTGCTGAGCTCTGCTACACCGGGGCCCGCTGAGCTGGAGCTGCCTGCTGGAAATCACAGCCTCCCGTTTGCTGTGCTGACGCTCAGCCATAAACGTTGACCCCAAAAGAAAAGTGCTGTGTTTTGTGGCGTTGGGGGGGGGATTTAGAGAGAGAGCAGTGAGGTGCTGGAACAGCTGCCCAGAGAGGCTGTGATGCCCCGTCCATCCCTGGAGGTGTTCAAGGCCAGGTTGGATGGGGCCCTGGGCAGCCTGGGCTGCTGTGAAATGGGGAGGTTGGCGGCCCTGCCTGCAGCAGGAGCTTCGTGATCCTTGAGGTCCCTTCCAACCCTGGCCATTCAGTGTGGGCTGCAGTCAGAGCTCGGTGAGCTGCGCTCAAAGCCTTGTGAGGCACAACCACGACCCCGTGCCACACGAAGCCATTCAGATTTGGAGGCTGATTTCCTAAAAAAACAGGCGTTTATTAGAAAAGATGCTCCGTTCCTCTCGTGTCCCCGCACCGCTCCCAGGTGTGCCATGCGCCCACTGGCACTGCCCAGCGTTCCTGGTTCCTGCTGGGCAGCTTCGTGCTGTGCCCACCGTGAGGTGTGGTGGCCACCAGAGCAACCCCCCTTCAGCTCCAGGACAGCCCAGAGCAGAGGGCTGGGGGCTCAATTCCCATCTCACGCTAAATCTGGCTCCGGTTCTGCCGGGATCAGATCATCCACTGGTCCTGGTCCTGCTCTGCCCCTTCCATATCCACCTGGAAAGGAAAACGTCGGAGATTTCTGCCCCGCAGGAACCCCATTTGGCTCAGCTGTGATGGTGTGGTGTCTACAAAGGAGCTGGGTGGGTTTTGGGGTCCCTTCCCCCCCTCCCCAAACTGTGGTTCTGGGATTAGATGTGAGGCAGGGGTGTAACCCAGCCCACCCCAACACTCCCCTGACCTCATTGATCTCCCCATCATCAGGAGACTCGTTGTAATCGTTCATCTCATCCATATCCTGCATGTCTTCATCGTCCTCTGAATCCTCTTCGCTGTCTTCATCATCCTCATCGTCCTCTTCCTCCTCCTCATCGTAGTGCTGTGGGTGTCACAGAGGCACCGTGTGTCCCCACATCCAGAGCCAACCTGCAAATCTTCCTGCCACCTCCGTCCCCATTAGGGCCAGGGGATGCAGCCCCACGAGCCCCCAACCCCACACAGCCACAAGCAGCCTCAAAACACCCTTCCTTCTCCCACTCCTTCGCCTGGGGACAGCGCCAGGTTGGGTGACAGATGTCCCACAGTGTGGTCACCCACCTCTGAGGCCGGCTTCCCAATGGGCACCAGGTTGTTGTCCTTCTCGGCGATGCTCTGGAGCTGGGGAGAAAGGTGAAGGGGGGGTCAATGGGGACAGGGAGGAGCGTGACAGGGGGGCATTGTCACATAGGGCTGCAGCCCCTTGGGGACAGGGCACAGAGGACACAACCCCACAGGGAAATGGAGATGAGGGGTGGCCAGGCGTGCCCCCAAGCCATGAGCCGACATCGTTTACAAGGAACTCTTTGCTTGGGGGAGGTGGCACAGCTCAATTAGCACAGCTCTCAATTAACACAGCTCTGCCCCCAGGGGAGGGGGGGGCTCTGAGCTTCTCCCAGCTGCCTGAGAGTTTTTAATTGCCTGGTTTCCTTCAATTTCTATCAGACGATTCCATCCCCCGTTCACTGTAATCAAACGCACGCTGGCTGCCACGATTCCCGTGGGCCTCAGCTCACAGCACATCCACGGAGCAGCGCAGCGCAGCCCGGGGAGGTCAGAAGGAACAACCCGAGATCGCAGAATCGCAGCGCGGGTGGATTTGGGAGGAACCTTAAAACCCAGACCCACCCCCCGCCATGGGCTGGGCAACACCACCGGCTCAGCCTGCCCCAGCCGGGCACCTCCAGAGCAGCAGCGCCAGCCCCGCGCCGCCCTCGCAGCACAGAACTGCCCGTGCTGACGGAGTTTGCTGAACGGAGGGGCTGAGGCCTGCTGGGCCCACACCGGGCCTCACACCGACCCCCGGTCTCCCTTCCCCCGGCCGCACCCAAGCCTGGTGCTGCTGCTCCTGCTGCTGCAGTTCGGTCTCGTCCACGCACGGCCGGTCCAGGTTGAACCACAGCGGTTCGGTCAGGCGAGGCAGCAGCGAAGGGAACAGGGTAGACATGGCCCCCAGCAGTCACCGCGCGAAGCGGCCGACCCGGAAGTACAATCTGATACCGGAAGTACTACTGCCAAGGGGAGGGGGGGGTGTGCTGCTGCCCGGAACTGCACATGCGCAGAACAAGGAAAGAGTGAGGCGGAGCACAAGGGTGGGAGGGGCGGGCTATTTGAGACCACGCCCAATTGCTCGACACGGTGCTGTGATTGGGGCGTGGACTAGGAGGAGGTGTGGCCAGGCGTTGATTGACAGCTGAGTGCGCCGAGAGCCACGGGCACCCCAGACCTCCGGGATGTCTGCCTCCCCCCCCCAGGGGTATCTGTCCCCCCCCCCCAGCCCCCCCAGGCCATCTGTGTCCCTACTGGGGGGCAATTGTCCCTCCAGGAGCATTTGGGACCCCCAGAGGTACCTCATCCCTAGGGATATCTGCCCACCCACCCATCTGGGCTCCCATCGCTGGGTCTTTGCCCCCCCACAGTGTATTTGGTCCCCCCACCCCTTCGAGGATTGGGTTATTTGGGGGTTTGGGGTGATGGGTTACAGGGGGGGAGGACACGGTAAGGGGGGGGGAGGACACGTTGTGCCCCACGTGCCAGCACCGATCTGTGACCCACGGGCAAGGGTTGCACAGAGGCACCACTGGGAGCCACCAGGAGAAAGCCACTGAGAGCCACCGGTGAGCGCTACTGTCCCTGTCCCCACTCGTCCCCATTTGTCCCCATTTGTCCCGATGTCCCCATCCCCACTTATCCCCCACGCACCCCACTTGTCCCCACTCACCCCCCATTTGTCCCCGGTCACCCGTTGTCACCAGCCACCGTCACCCAGGGGGAACTTTGTCCCCAGCAGTTCTGAGCACGTGGCAACGGGGACGTCGGTGCCAACCCAATCCTTGGGGTCACCACCCGCCCTCGGTGCCACCCCGTCTCCCCATGGCGTCCCTTTGGGCCGTGCTGGTGCTGCTGCCTCTGGCTTCGGCGCAGGAATCGCTGCTCAACATCTGCATGGATGCCCAGCATCACAAATCCGAGCCGGGTCCCGAAGGGCTGCTCTACGGGCAGGTGAGCTGCGGCCCCGTGGGGACACCCCTGGGTGCCACCACCTCATGGCGTCCCCCTCCTCCCCTCCGTGCCACCCTTGGGTGCCACCATCTCTGGGTACCATCACCCCATGGTGTCCCTGTACCCCCTTCCATGCCACCCTTGGGTGCCACCACCTCATAGTGTCGCCATATTCCCTCCATGCCACCCTTGGGTGCCACCAACTCATAGTGTCCCCTCATCCCTTCCATGCCACCACCCCGTGGTGTCCCTGCACCCCCTTCCATGCCACCCTTGGGTGCCACCAACCCATAGTGCCCCCACACCCCCATCATGTCACCTTTGGGTGCCATCACCCCACGATGCCACCACCCCGTGGTGTCCCCTCTATGCCACTGTTGGGTGCCACCACCCCATGATGTCCCTGCGCTCTCTCCATGCCACCCCTGGCTGCCACCAACTCACAGTGTCCCCTCATCCCTTCCATGCCACCACCCCATGGTGTCCCCACGTCCCCTCCATGCCACTCTGGGTGCCATCATCCCATGATGCCACCACCCTATGATTTCCTCACACCCCCTCCATGCCATCCTTGGGTTCCACCACCCCATAGCGTCCTCATATCCCTTCTGTGCCACCTTCGGGTGCCATCACCCCATGATGCCACCACTCCATGGTGTCCCCAGATTCCTTCTATGCCACCCCTGGGTGCCACCACCCCATGATGTCCTCACACCCTTGGTTGCCAGCACCCCATGATGTCCCTGCACCCCCTCCGTGCCACCCCTGGCCGCCATCAACTCATAATATCCCCATGTTCCCTCCATGCCACCCTTGGGTGCCATCACCCCATGATGCCATCACCCTACGATGTCCCCACACCCCCTCCAAGCCACTCCTGGGTGCCACCACCTCTGGGTACCATCAACCCCTGGTGCCCCTTCACCCCCTCCATGCCACCCTTGGGTTCCACCACCCCATAGCGTCCTCATATCCCTTCTGTGCCACCTTCGGGTGCCGTCACCCCATGATGCCATCACCCCATGGTGTCCTCAGATTCCTTCTATGCCACCCCTGGGTGCCACCACCCCATGAGGTCCTCACACCCTCTCCATACCACCCTTGGTTGCCAGAACCCCATGATGTCCCCACACCCTTTCCATGCCATCCTTGGCTGCCACCAGCTCACAGTGTCCCTCCCTGCCATCCTTGGGTTCCACCACCCCATAGCGTCCTCATATCCCTCCCCTACCACCCTTGGGTGCCACCACCCCATGGTGCCACCACCTCATAGTGTCCCCATGTCCCCTCCATGCCATCCTTGGGTTCCACCACCCTATAGCGTCCTCATATCCCTTCTGTGCCACCTTCGGGTGCCGTCACCCCATGATGCCATCACCCCGTGATGCCACCGCCCTATGCTGTCCCCACACCCCATCCATCAGCACCCTTGGGTGCCACCCCCCCCCCCAAAATCCCCTTCAGTGCGTCCTATGGAAGGACAACGCTTGCTGCACGGAGAACACCAGCGTGGAGGCGCATCGGGACCAGTCCTACCTGTACGGCTTTAACTGGGATCACTGCGGCGCCATGGCGCAGCGCTGCAAGAGGCATTTCATCCAGGACACGTGTCTGTATGAGTGCTCCCCAAACCTGGGGCCGTGGATCGACCAGGTGAGGGGAGGGGGCTTGGGGAGGCGTCGTGGGGTGGGATTTGGGGGGTGGGTGCTCCGTGGAGTGGGTTATGGGGATGGGGAGATGGGGGGAGCGGAGTTTGGGGTCAGTAGGATTGAAGGGTGGGATTTGGGAGGTGGGATTTGGGATGGGTGGGTGAAGGGGTGGGATTTGGGGGGGC